TTACTCAAAAAAAATTAGAGGCAAAAAATTTTTTTACTTCTTTTCAAATTGTTTATTGTTGATTTTTTGCATAAAATTTTCCTTTTAAATTTTTTAAATAAGCGATGGGAAATTCAATTCTATAAATAATTTTTCCTATGAACTATAGCAAAATTTTGCTTCGTTTTCGAGCTACAATTAAAAAACTGAAAGGGGTGCATTTTCACCCCTATTTCAAATTTCCACCCTCTAATTTAATAGCACTCCGCGTTTTTTTCATAAAAAATGAACTTTTGAACAATTCATGCAATAAAATTGCTTGAACGCCATAGCTCCTTTTAACCCTGCTCTTTTATATAATCAATAGCCTTATAATTCATCATTTCCTTGCAATACACTTCTGCTTCTGTCTCCCCCATTTTTTCCACGAGGATAGAAAATTATTTCCGCTGGTGCAGTTAAGGAAAACTAATTGGAAGTTCCTTTTTTAAAAAATGTTGTGAAGTAATAAGCAATCCTATTTTCTTTTATAATTGCATTGGGGAAGTATTTCCGATTTCAAGAGAAACGTATGTTTATTTGCGCATTTTCTTATAAAGTCAATTTTTCCACCGAAGAAATCTATAATTAAGTGCGTGTTTTCTCGAGATATAATTAAGTTGAACAGAGCGTCTTCTTTGAAACGAACTTTGTTAGAAAGATAATATTTTCGGGGCAATTTACGATTGTTTTCTCAGTAATCTGAAACGAATTACTTCTTTAATGTGTTGTAAGCAGAAAGATAATTAATTTATTAATCACTCACTTAGGAAACATCCTCGCGTAATCCCCAAGTTTGAAATAAAAAAAATCTTGTCAAAGGTATACATTATTAAGAAACTAAATAACTATTAGTGCTATTGGCCAGTAGTAGGTATTGTTTAAAGTGAGAAGTTAAAAAAAATCATCTTTATGAGACGTTTCGTCATCGTGTTATTGTGGCAACCTCAGGACACCGCAATGTAATTTATGCAACAGTATATTAATTAAGTTGCTGTTACATACATGCTGATGTAGTGTCCTGAGAATGTCACAAATCACGAAACGCGGACGTCTTTGATTTATTCGGTCGAAATTAGAATTGAGTATTAAAACATTCATTATACTAAATTAATGGCAATTGAAAGAAACTGTAAGAAAAGTAACTAGCACTTTATATTGCAATTAATAGAATTTTAGAAGAAATTATGTGTCCTCTAAATATGTGTCTTGCTATCAGGAATTGTAATAACAACTAATAACTTTTCCTTATGGGCCGGCCACACATACAGGCTTTACCGCGCGCTTGCCTGCACAAACCAGTTTGTATCGGGAAGCCCGTACGTGTGGCCGGCAAAACGTTATCTCGCACAAACTGAAAAGCGCGGCTTGCGTAAACTTCGACTTGCTGAAGATTTTGTTTGTGCAAATTCGGTTTGCACGGTAAAATTTGAGCGTGTGGACGGCGCACGGTGTTCAGTTAAGAGAAATTGCGGCAGAAAGCCTTAAATCTCTATATGATCTCCCTTTCGCCGATTTCCAAAATTCTTTTTTTTATGTGGTAGTAGGTACTCACAAAGGTCTAATTTTTAATATTATATTTTTTGTCATGTGATCTTTTCTACGGCCTACTATCATTAAGAAAAGGCCCTCAAAAATTAAAAAACATATTAGGCATTTTTTCAAGAAAAAATTGATAGCATTTTCGATTTGATCACACCTCAAAACCCTAAATACAAAGTTTCATTATTATAGCTTTTACAGGGTGTTCACAAAATAGGTGAAACTTCGGAACATTTCACTTATTGCAAAGTGTCCTGTATTAACAGTGAAAAATATTTTCAAGGTATTTTTTCATAATTTTATTAACCGAAGGTATATCCATGCAGTTTCATTAATTTCACTCATACAGGGTGTTCACAATAGGACAAGCAAATTATATATATATATTTTTTATATACCAGAAATGAGTTTCACAACGAAATCTACTCCTCCGAAACGGCTTGACCGATTCTCATGAAATTTTGTGAGCATATTGAGTAGGTCTGAGAATCGGCCAACATCTATTTTTCATACCCCTAAATGTTAAGGGTGGTCCACCCCAAA